GGCACACATAATCATTTAGGAACACAAGAGCCCTATCATGTTTAAAATAAATACAAAATTTCTGTTCATTGCAATTTCTTCTGAAATTCAATGTTTCTTCAGGATAGACAGTACAAGGAGTTATCTAATTGAGTTATCTATTTCCAAAAGAAAGACTTTTAAAAACAGTTTTTCTTAATGGACTTTTTCTCTGTAAACTAGAGTACCAACCCTTAATTTGTGCAAGCATGTAATTGGCCAAGTTGTTCAGTAAGTGTTCCAGAAAATCAGGACAGCTGTTAGTTTTTCAGGAAAACATGAAAAACAAAATTAAGAAGAAAAATAACAAGCATCAGGCATATACAAGCTGTAAACTCCAAACTCCACAGATTACTATGAGTACAATCACAGGACAAAACTGTCACACAACCGACCAACCTGCCACTGAGTCTAGTGGTCTACCAGCAGCTTGCACCAGTTTGAATCTAAGCGTTGGTAAAAGTCTGAAGTGGAAAGAGACAGAACCTAGTTATAACATACCTTTGAAGGGGCTTACTTGGGGCAGTTAAATGCGCTTATAGACAAATATATTTAGAAGGCACTACAGTATTTTCACATGTTATTTCAGTCCCCAGAAGGGAACTGTGTAGTAGTACATTAACTCTACTCTCAATTCCTATGTATGACCTGGAGCCCTAACTACCAAAGTATAATCTGGGAAAGAACTATCCTCTCTGTTTGCTTACTTAACAGAAACTGGGAAGAAAAAAAAAGGAGATTCTAACCACATTTGTACTTCTGTGCTACTCTTGCAAGACTAGCTTAAGTATTTGATGGCTGTTAACAGCACTATTTTTCCCCTTTGCATTTTCATTCAGTCCACAACAAAAACTCATAAATGAAATTTTCAAGGATTGGCCCTCCCAGGCCTGTCTACTTCATAAACCTCTGCCAGAAAAACTATACCAGCTGGAAATGTCAGCCATAAAGTACAAACCAAATAACTAACTTAGCTGTGCTGGAAAGAAAGTCTTGATGTACCCAAATTATGCAAAACAAACAAACAAAAAGCCCCACTTCTGTTGGCTTTATTCACACCACAGAGTCAAGCAATGAATTTTCGTTGGCAGAAAGATTACTGCATTTCCAAGAGGGGAGCTAATTGGCAAAGCTGCAGTGACTTGAACTGTTTTAGATCAAAGAGTTTTTAAAGAGCCCCAATACCCAAATTTTTCAAGCTACCTGGAAAGCTAGTTGCAACAACAACTAAAAGATTAGTTATCCATATTCTGATACAACTGACACATCTCAATGATTTCTGAAAGAATGTCTCCCAAGAACAGGTACAGAAATCTATCAATTAGAAACTGCCCTCAAGCCTTCTTTGATTCATGTATACACAAAGAAAATAACTTATCAATCTCACAATCTCTATTTTAGTTAGTGCAGTTCTCTTTGGTGAAGCAATACTGAGTAACAAATTCTTGCACACTCAGCTGTCTTGGCTGAAGAACTGGAAGACATACAACATAAGTCCACGTAAACGAAGACTGGTCCCATATGCTCACTGCAGAAAGGCCAATATTTTATTTATTTACTTTTAGACAAAGAAAGACTAAGAAGTGACCTCCAGCCAGAGAACCTGGAACAGAAGCAGAAGGCCTCTGAAGATCCCAACTGAATGCATTAGAATGCATTTTCACAGAATCACAGAACCCTTAGATGACCTTTAAAGGACCCTTCCAACTCTAAGGATTCTATGATTCTATGAAAATACATCATAATGCATCCAGCTAGGCTCTTCATTGATTTCTACATACACCTTTTGATCAGTGCTAGAGCACTGATGAAGAACTTCCTGCATCCATAAGTAAAGTGCATCAGAAAGGAGATACAAAGGGAACAGGAGAAGCAAAATACTCAAAATGAACAAGAAAGCAGAAATGAAAGTATACAACAGTATGGCACATCTATAGTCTTTTACAGAATTCCTCCTCTTTTCTCTCAGTTCACCATGTAACAATCCCATAATTTGGAACCACCCTCATATCCACACTATTCTTCAGCAGACTTTAAATCTTTTAATCAACCATACTGTCATTTAGCAAGCATCAGTTAGATGTGAGCTTTTGTGGACTAGCCTTTTGAAGGAAACAAGACATTTGGCTTGTGGCTTTCATAGATTTTTGTTGATAGCTGAGGAATGGCAAGATTTAAGGGCCTTTAATTTCTTCCAGACGTAAAAGGGAACTACACTCTAGGACAAAGTTGCTCAATCTGTGGTCAGTAAAATACCAGATGGTGGTCCAAAATATCATCGTAAAAAAATGTGTTTTTAAAACTATACATTCCCACATATGCAAGAAATGAGGAAATACAGAAAAAATTAAACAAACATTCAGAGTTTAGCCTAACTGAATTGCGCCATAGTGCAAAACCAAAAGAGACATTTCACAAGTTGATCCTTCAATTTTTAAAAGAAATTAAGTGATTTTTAAACAAAATACTGTCCTTTAACACTTAAGTTTGAAAACTTTCTTCTGTTCTACTGAATTTCCAAATCAAGACTCTCAAAATATTTCACTAGATTCAGTATGTTCCTCAGTCCCTCCCTCTCTCTGACTTCTCTAAGCCATTATCTGTTTTCTCCATATTCTCTATGCTTTCTGTTTTTTTCCCTCTCTTTATATACACTTCTTAACATCTTCTGCAGAAGCAACCCATACGGCCACTGAGCTCTTTCTGATCATTATCATTGGCAAATTCTGTTTCAAATCTTCCAGCTCACCCTGAATTCCAGTTACCACTATTGGAACATTGTAATTTTACCGGTTTAGTCACAACAGCTTCCTTTCACAGACCTACCCTCTTATCTGTCACTTTTTATTTCTGTTAAGTTATGACAATTGTTCCATACTCTGACTCCAAACCCTGATTTAAGATCTAACTATCCAGTCCTACTCTTATTCACTCCTCACAGTTATTTTCACTTCCTATGTCCACATATAAACATTCTTGCATCTTATAATCATAGAATTCTTAGAGTTGTAAAGTATATCTATCCAACTCTTCTGTAATGAACAGGGACATGCACAGCTAGATCAGGTTGCCTAGGGTCTGATTCAGCCTCCATTGAAAGTCTCCTTGGACAGGGCAACCACCACATCTCCGGACAACCTGTTCCAGTGCATCAACATCATCACTGTAAAAGACTTTTCCTTATATCTAACCTAAATCTACGCCCTTTAAGCTTGCAGTTATTTCCCCTTGTTCTATCACCACAGACCCTGCTAAAGAGTCTGTCCCCTTTTTTCCTGTAGCTCCCATTTAGATACTGAAATGCCACCATTAGTTTTCCCCAGAGAAGAAGATCTTGCACTTGAATTTGCTGAACCTCATAAGGTTCTCCTCAGCCAATTGCTCATGCCAGTCTAGGTCCCTCTGGATGGTAACTCATCCCTCTAGTGTGTTGGCAGCACCTCACTGCTTGCTGTCATCCACAAAATAGCTGAGTTGTCCACAATCAGCTTTCTAAAAACCTACCCTCTTAAATTGTTTTTCAAGACAGACAAACAGACAACAAAGCAGTCTTTACATCTTAACAAGAAAACAGCTCTGCAAAGCCATCCAATTAAGAATACAATGCAACTTCAATTTTGTAAATACTATTTAAATAGGATACCAGAATTCTCTTCACTCAAAATTAGCCTGATCTCAAGCTACCATTAAATTCATGAATGTCAAAAAAATTGAAAAAAAAAATTGTTGAAGGACTCAATTAACATACACATTTTTGCATGTTTTCTAACACCTAACTTGAAAACACCATTTGCATGTGTTCCTCTGAACACTCACCACTCTTCCTCAGTTTAAAAAAAGCAGCTTTTAACTTTTTCCCAAAGATTACTGTTAGTTACTAAAGTCTACAACTTCCTTCAAAATCAAGATGCAACTTTAAAATGAAATACACTGATTATCATACTGACATGTATGACTAAATGCCGTATGGACTACTCCGTTTTTTCAAAATGATTGTTTATGGAAACCCTATAAGCAGCACACTGCAGCTGAATGAAAACAGTTATTAAAACTATTTTCAATAAAACTATTAACAATAAAAAGTTAAACTACACAAGAATTACTTATACACATTACTCAAGTAAAAACTGGACACAAGGTTTTGCATTTAAAATTGAATTAATTATGCTATGTGTGGTTAGTAAACACAGCAGAGCACCATAAAATTTTAGAATTTATCTTCTCTATCCTGACAGTTCTATTCCTATACTAGAAAGAAGAAATGGAGTTATTTAACCATTTGAAATTTATAAAGATTCAATTTGAACAAATTCTGAATATAAAGACACTATTTATCTACAAAATACATGTCTGCTTCCACTGATTTTGATATGTTGACAAATTCTCAAATTCTTGTTGCCAGCTTATGGCTGTTCGTAGCTTTTGCTTTCTTACAACTTTGGTAAGGAATTTTTACTGCTTGGTAAGGCATTTTTACATGTGTGTATGCTTTGTTTTTTTATACTCAGACTCAGTAAGATTACATTTCATAATGAATTTTGTTTATTTAATTTAAAGTTGATTTTAATGTATTCAAAATATGTTCTTTATACAGCTTTCCATACAGCTATTAGCAGTTTTTGGTCCTCTACATGAAGTACATGCAACAATTTGTAAAAGCTCAGTTAAATGATTTCATAGCAAACTAGTTTTTGAAACACTTTATGACACAGAAAGAATAAAACAGATATTCAGATCTTGTTAACAATTGAGGAAAATCTCATAAAACCACTGTATTTGCTACTGAGATGAACACATACATAAAACAAGTTTCCTTGGAATCTGTGCTTTTTTTTTTCACTTCTCTTTCTCTTCTTCCATTTTCTTTTTTTTTTTTTCTCATGTACATATCTGTGTGTGTGTGTGTTGTATAAGTGGGTCTATGTGTCTGCAAAAAATTAGATACAGATTTCCAGCTTCTCAGGAAAATTAAGTTTGCATACCAGCACAGAATATCCCTGGGACTTCACTTCGGAATATAACAGTTCGTACTTTCTTATCAGATTTCAAAGCATCCACAGCTTTTGACATCTAAAGAGAAAAGGAGGGATGGGAATAACCAAACACTTTCAAAAGTATTTAATTCCAGTATTTCACCTTCATATTAGAAACTGTTCTTTTCACTTACCATTTTTAAAAGATTTTTGTTAAGTGCATTCTTGGCATGAGATCTGTTTAACCCAAGCACCACAATTCCTGGAGGGGAAGAAAAATTATATCACTGTTACAATACAGAAAAATATACAATATCCACACTAGTAATTATTTCAATTTCAGGAGTGCTAAAAGAAACATACTAGTGCAGTCAATTAGCTACTGAGTTTTAGAAAGAAAAAAATGGATTTAAGTTTTCCAGTGTTGAACATTTCAGTGTTCAACAGAAATGATGTATTTTAAGAAGTAAAAATCTGGCCCTAACACTATTACATGGTCAGAAAGGTTGAATCTTAATTTACCTAAGGCATGCACAAATTTCACATTTGTATGCAAAGTGCTGACATATAATCAAGCAAAATAATGCACTATTTCCATATTCAGGTAGCCTGCTTTGAGAAACTTCTTAAAGCAAGAAGAGCTATCACAGCTAAGACTAGCAATTCCAATACAGATAATGAAGCCACACAGAGAGAATGCTAGCAAAAATATATCTGAACTTCTGTTTTAAAATAAAAAAACATACAGAAACTCTCTCTCAAGACAGAAACTAGTGCTAGGCTACACAGCTTTGATCACATATTTATAACTCCCTTAATCCAGTTAGAGATCAGCTGGCTCAATGACTGATTCCATATACATTGATCTGTGTCACACAGGGAGCACCACTTGCTTATCCTTATTCCTTCTCCCTTAGCTGAACAGGCATGAAAAATCCCAAGAAGTTTATCCAGATAGTAATCTTTTAGGCAATTATTTCCTGAATGTATTACAATTTCCTGAATTCTAAACATCAGAAATTGATCCAGTCTTGCTAAGGTCAGGATTTTGTTTTTCATCTGGAGAATACAATGCAAGTGAAAAGAAGGCAATGGACTAGCACTGGGACCAGGAATGAAAGAGAAAAGGGGAGCTCCCTTTATCCCAAACAAAAAGGCCCACAGTGTTGCCATCAATCTACCAGAAACTCAGTATTTGCCTGCGTATTTACCACCACAACACCAAACTCTGCAAGAACCATCTCTTTATACTCTGGCTCCCCTAGTCACTTCAGGAGCCTGTCTTGTTTTCTCAGCACACGCTATTTCCTTTATAGAAACATCATCTCAAAGTGATGAACTATTAGTGCTTAATCCCACTTCCCCTCCTCCCAAATGTAAGTGCCTACACACACACACATTGTTAAACTGAGCTCCTGCTCCTTCTGCAGCTACCAATTTGAAAACGAAGTCTTCCATTCAACAGCTGCCATGTCTGAAGTTCAAACGAAAATTTAAACCCAAGTAGGAGAGCACACTTTGCTCTTGCTTGCTCCTGAAGTTCAATTAACCCTTATCAAGAAAGAGGAGAGCCTGGCTGACCCAGAAAACCTTCACTACTTTGTTCTCTAAAGCCAAACTAAATTCACCAACACAACTGCAACAGCCCTCAATCAGCATTCAAGCAGGAATTCCTACGTGCTTCCAACTGCAGCACTTTTCTACTGTTGCAACTTGTATTTCAGGATTATTCCAAATTCAAGTACATTGTATGTTCATACACATAGATAAAACAAAATCAGCACCATGTTTTAAAGCGACAAAAAGTCAGTTAACCTGGTTTTGATTTTAAGCTCTAAGACTACTACACTTGCATATCCAAAGTTTGAATGAGGCAAAGACATTGCCATCTCAAACCTATTTCTTTAACTAAAAAATAAGGTCCTTAGCAATAGTACGTTTTTTCAATAGCAGCAACACTCCTTATTTACCATCATCAATATTATAACGAATTCCCAATTAACATTAAAACATATTTTGTAATTTTCCTATGAAGAAGGGCCCCTTGAAGACAAATCATACAAGTTAAGTCTTAAAAGTATCCCACTGAGTCATAAACCTATCACTTCTGTCTCCCCTCCCAGATAAGGGAGAGGTAAATACAGATGACATCCATTTCTTAAATAAGAGGGGGGGGAGGGGAAAGCAAAGCAATAACTGCAACCAGAAAAGCATATGAGGCTAACATGAGACAATCATATATTGAAATGAGGCATATTAAAAGATATTCCCTGAATGCTCGTTTGAGTCACTTTTGTTCTGATACTTTATTACAATATAGTCTGGGCATCCTTAAATCCCTTGGTTATTTTTAGAACTGCAGTAAGGCGTGGGACGTTTTCCCAGTGTGTTAATCAACTACAGAACTACAGATCAATTGAGTACTTGCTCAAAGTCATATTATCAAAGTAGAAAAATAGTCTTGTTTCCATTTGAGTAATTTAATCCGAAGGATATACTTTCTTCCTTCCCTAGCTTACTCCAAGATCTCCTTGTCCCCAAAATCTGGGAATGCAACTCACCACATCAGTTTGCTGAAGACTGTGAATTAATTGCTGGATGCCATTATAAAAGAAACTGTTCAAGAAGGTCTTCCTTCCATGTTTTGGATATCCTAAAGAATTTAAATCCCTGGTCACATGGGTATACAAATTTATATAAATTTGCCCTAAACAGGGCAAATTAGGCACTATATAACACGGCACAGTCCCACAAAACCTCTTGGGAAAAAAAAAATGATAACAAGAAGTACAGACATTATCAATAACTATTTTAACAATTATTTTTAACAAAAATGTACACTTTATTGTACATTGTATTACATGTATTTTGAAAAATCTCACATTCTCATTTGAAACATTTAATTACAGTTCACTCTTTCTGAAGTGTCCACCTATGAGCATGCAAATATCTTAAAAAATATACTCAAAAAACGTATCTGTAAAAAGTAGTAAAAACTCATTATCACATTCAGAAACAAATATTAGAATCATAATAAACATCATAATAATGGAATTCCAGTATCTTTACAATCTCAAGGAAGTTGCAGATACGTTAGAAAGGAACTGCCATTCAGACAATGCTGAAGGCGGTATTAATTTCATATTTTTTTCCTGGGAGTCATTTCCACATGACTCCAGAAAACTCAGCAAATAAGGTGTGTCTATTATTAATCACATATATTAAAAATCAAATTTCACTCTATCAGCTAGATTTTCCGAGGGACTAAGTTAACTAACAACGCTATGTAAGTTGTCATGGACACTCTGCGTTATTTCTCAGCTGCTCAAATGTACGGAACTGTTAGGTCATAGCATGAACCAGTGACTGAGCAGCTGGTAAAGGGGCACAGCCAGACCTGGGAGCACAGGTGGAAGCAATTTATCTGAGCAACCGCAAGGGGTCACACACCCCTCCCTAGCCTGATTTAAGGGCTGGCAATCACAAGAGAAGCATCTCTATTTGGAGACTGCCTCAGAAAGGGGCAATTCCTTCTTTGTTACCAAATCATGACTTCTACATTTCTTGTGTGATCCTGAACTGGTTCAAAGCAGCTCTACCTGCTGCCTCCTCTCCCAACAGAGGGTAAAGCAAACACACAATGAATAGTACTCTCACTACCAGAGCTGAGACATAATTTTTAATGCTAAAAAGAAAATTATAATTAAGTCACATGAAAATAAACAGCAAAATTGTATTTTAGTGAGAAGAGGATACATATACATACATACACACAAGAATTCTTCCAAAAGTAATGCATTGTATTTCATTAAGTTGGCCCACAATACTAGAAACAGATGTTGGTGGTATGTCTGAACAGGCTGAACCTTCCCACTATTATTCCATTACATTTTGTTGCCATGTGACAGATGGTATCATAGGTGCAATCTGACAAAGCGGCATATGACATAGAAGTGTGTATAAGGCAAAGGCATGTCACTGAATTCCTCCATAGGGGTAAAAAAAGAAAAACACCTATTGACATTTATCACTGTTTGCTGAACAAATGTCCAAAAGGTTGATGTGAGCTCAGAGAGGTGGTGGGTGGTGCATTTCAGGAGTTGTGACTATGGGTTACCTCCACTAGTGCAGATGTTTACTACTCTCAGAATCATAGGATCATCAAGCTTGGAAAAGACCTCCAACATCATCCAGTCCAAATGTCCACTTACCAACATTTCCACACTAAAGCATGTCCCTTAGTACCACATTATACACTTCCTTAATACCTTCAGGGGTGATCACAGAATCACAGAATTGTAGGGGTTGGAAGGGACCTCCAGAGATCATCGAGTCCAACCCCCTGCCAAAGCAGGTTCCCTACAGCAGGTCGCACAGGTCGGCATCCAGGCAGGTCTTGAACATCTCCAGAGAAGGAGACTCCACCACCTCCCTGGGCAGCCTGTTCCAGTGCTCCGTCACCTCACCGTAAAGAAGTTCTTGTGCACATTTGTGCGGATCTTCCTATGCTGCAGCTTATGTCCGTTTCCCCTTGTCCTGTCTCCACTCACCACTGAAAAGAGACTGGCCTCACCACTATGGCTCCCACACCTCAGATATTTATAGACCTGGATCAGGTCCCATCTTAGTCATCTTTTCTCAAGGCTGAACAGACCCAGTTCACTCAGCCTTTCTTCATAGCAGAGATGCTCCAGGCCCTTCACCATCTTTGTGGCCCTCCGCTGGACTCTTTCCAAGAGATCCCTGTCTTTTTGTACTGGGGAGCCCAGAACTGGACACAGTACTCCAGATGAGGCCTTACCAGGGCAGAGTAGAGGGGGAGGATCACCTCCCTCGACCTGCTGGCCACGCTCTTTTTAATGCACCCCAGGATGCCATTGGCCTTTTTGGCCACGAGGGCACACTGCTGGCTCATGGCCACCCTGGTCCACCAGGATGCCCAGGTCCCTCTCTGCAGAGCTCCTCTCCAGCAGCTCATCCCATGCATGTACCAGTGCATGCAATTATTCCTCCCCAGATGACAAACTCTACACTTGCTTTTGTTGAACCTCATCCGGTTTCTTACTGCCCAGCTCTCCAGCCTGTCCAGGTCTCGCTGAATGGCAGCACAGCCTTCAGGCGTGTCAGCCAATCCTCCCAACTTCGTATCATCACCAAACTTGCTGAGGGTGGCCACTATCCCCTCACCAAGGTTGTATAAGATCAGACCCAGCACAGACCCCTGGGGGACACCACTGGTTACAGGTCTCCAGCCAGACTCTG